GAGTCCCTTGCTGCCAACCTTCCGTATCAACAGCCGGAGCACCTGCGCTGCACGGTTAAGGTTTAGGGCTTAGGGTTTAGGATTTTGGGTTTAGGGTTTAGGGTTTAGGGTTTAGGGGACAGCTCTTGGTGATTCTGGGGTGCCAGGTGTCGGGGGTTTCGGGGTTCAGGGTTTCGAGGTTCGGGGTTCAGGACGCCTCGAATAGCACTTTCGGATGTAAAGTTGGCAAACCCCTAGATTCCGGAACCCTCAAACGCTATCAAACGGCTTTCTTCCTTGAATCGAGCCTAAATTCCCTAATCCCTCAAACCCAAAACCCCAATCCCTCAATCTATATATATATATATAAATAAACCCTAAACCGCAGGCTGGACCTATCAAGCCACGTACCCGTCCTTCTACACTCCAAAAGTCCTAAGCCCCCGAGTGCCTCGAGATGTCCAGCCTGGGCGGCGAAGTGAAGTGGCAAGAAACCGTCCATCGCCTGAGAAGGACTTGCTGGGTTGTTGCTTAGTACTGATATGGGGGGGGGGAATATTAAAAAAAAAAAAAGATAACCCGATTATTTACCACATATCCCCATTAATACCCTAAACCCTAAACCCTAAACCCTAAACCCTAAACCCTAAACACATATCCCCATTATGGTAAGAGAAAGGATCATGTTTGAGCTTCTTTTCCTCTGGCTCAACTCAACCGAGAACTAGGGGAGGCCAGTGGCGGCCAACAGAACAGCCGCATTGGGTTTAGGGTTTAGGGTTTAGGGTTTAGGGTTTAGGGTTTAGGGTTTAGGGCATTGGGTTTGGGAGTTCAAGGCGTAGTGCCCGAAGCCCCACACCCAAAGCCCTCAACGCTAACCACCCCATGCAACTCCGAAATCCTGAGCCCTTCTGGTAGCCCTATAAGTACCCCTTAAACCCTAAACCCTAAACCCTAAACCCCCTAAAACCCTAACCCTAGGTACCGCTTAAAGGAACCACAGAACCCTGATGCCTGGATTTACAACGGTCCAGAGAGGCCCCAAGCGGTTGGGTTGAAAATACAGGAAAGGCAATAAGGCAAAATACGAACTACTCAAGCAGCGACACCGCAAATCCAGAAAACTGTAGAAAAGGATGACGAAAAAAGGGCTTAGATAGCCCTTACATGGTAGTAACCCTAAACCCTAAGCCCTCAACCTAAACCCTAAGCCCCTAACCCCTCAACCCTGCGCCCCTAAACCCTAAACCCTAAGCCCCTAAACTCTAAACTTTAAACCCTAAGCCCCTAAACCCTGTGCCCTAAACCCTTTACCCCCCTGAAAAAAGCCTTTTTCAGGAACCCTGAGCCTCCGGCCTCCAGAGTTGGGCTGGCGCCCTTTTCCAGAAGCTTGGCAACCTCTTCTGACGGGCCCAGAGACCCAGAGGCTCCAAGACCCGTTAATTCAGGATTCGCTCAGGATTCCTGGAAGGGCATTTCAGAGACTCCAAAACCGCTTGATTAGGGATTATACTTTATTGGGCTCTTATTATAACTTAAGGTATATTTCGAAAACCAAAGGGTATTGAGGTCTCGGGACCCTTGGCTGCAAAGGGCTTATAAGCTTGTCTTTTGGGGTCTATGATCAGAGGGGCGGGACTTTGGGGCTTGAGGACTTAGGAAGTTTAGGGCGCAGGCTCGGGCTTTAAGTTTTTGTTCGAGCTTCTGATTCAGGAAGCATAATTGAAAACGCTTATAGAGCTGGGCTGGGCCACAGGTTTGGATTCCTCTGATGCGAAGTCTGGCACCCGGTCTGGAGCTTGAGCTGAGTCGAACTTCAATACCAACGGAACCTCGCGCAAACCTGAACAGCAAAGCACCACATTCCCCACAGAGTGCGGCACGGTTTTCCAGGTTCCCATGCTGTGGGCATTGTTGCCGCCTAGGCTTTAAGCCTCAGCCCAACATCCACATGAACTGGGTTACAACCATCCCTATCCGTAAACCCCAAATCCACAATCCGACATCCGGAAACCTTCATTCCGTATTGAGCCCCACAGACCCTCCAAAGACCTCCAAACGCAGCCACCCCAGACCCCTAAAAAGACCCGACATCCCATAGTTCCTGAACTCCCAATTTCCTCCAAAGAAAGCCGTAGCCAAGGGACCGCTTCGGACTTCCCGAAAAAGGCGGCCATGTGGAGCGGTGTGCGCTTGTGCCTGAGCCAACCATAACTACGGTTTAACAAGGCCGTCATTTAAGTCCCCCAAAACCCTAAAACTTGAACCGACCCTAAACTCTACAGCCCCATACCCTAAACCCTAAACCCTAAACCCTTAACCCTAAACCCTAAACCCTAAACCCCCCTCAAAGCCCTAAACCGACCCCAAGCCAGCATTAGACGACGACCGAGTCGCTGGTCCGCCTGGTTCAGCTCTTTGGCTTTCTCCTCGTCCGCCAACCTCGGGAGATCCCGGAAATCCCAATGCAAGGGACCCTTCAAGGGTTCAGGGCTTAATTAGGATGTATTAAGGTTGAAAGCTTCAGGGCTTAAGCCGTTTACGGTTTTTGGGCTTTCGGGTTTTGGGGCAGGGTTTATGGTTGGTACTTGAGTGGATGAGTGAGTGAGTGAGTGAGCGAGCGAGCGAGTGAGTGAGTGAGTGCGTGGGTGGGTGGGTGAGTGTCGAATAGCACTTACGGTGCAAACTGCCTCCCACATCCTTCTCAACTTCTCAAGGTGCTCCGCAAACGTCATTGCCCCACGCCGCCACAAAGTTCGCATGGGGGAAAGCCTAATCAATGCAGTCCAGCAAGACCGATGTGCGGCAAGACACGTCTTGGAATCAGTAAGTCATCTGGCGCAACAGGCGAAACACAACAACAATAAGACCGGTCAGAAACTCGGCACGCAACTTCCACCCAAAACAAGGGAACAAAGCAGTGCGGCCAGTGCCGAGGGAGCTCGGCTCCAAGCGCAAAAGTCTTGCACCGGGGCTTCATGGTTTGCATGGCTAGTGCTGATTTGGGGGATTAAAAGAGGATCAGCGAGCAGTGGCAGCGTCTTGACATTCGCACACGTCACTGGAGAGACGAAACACCGTGTTAGTTCAAGCCTTTGCAAGGAAGAAAGCTTCTGTCAGACTACTGGTGACTAGTGCTCGCGAAGCAAGGCGTCGAAACCCTGGGAACTTTAGTGCCGGCCAGTAGCAGCTCGTCAAGCTTCGCCAGGTCACCTTCGGAAGACACCACCGATGCCGTCTCGAGGGCTGGAAAAAGAGTATCTAATCGACCAGATTTCAACCGATACCTCTGAATCACATTCTACTGTTCTCAACCCTATAATTTGCGATCATGAGTTGTACATACTGGGATACTACATAGAACTTTGTAAGGATTCTATACCAACGAACTACCAAGCTATTGGGCCCTTCCCATGCCTGCTCGCGCCGCATCGTGCAGCTCGGTTGAGGCATTCCCACCCTGGCCGGAAGAGGACTTGGAGTGCGGTCGGCGGCCTTTTATAGAGAGGTGGATGGTGATCATTGGCAACAGAAGCACTGGCAAATCGACAATGGTGAGAATACTTACAGCAACATGGAGAATCAACATGCCGATGAAAAAGACTGCTTGCTGCTTCCATTTCTACTTCTTCTGCGAAAAACTGCAAAACTGATACAATACTTATGGCTTGGCTAGTGGCGAACTACTAACAGTGACTGCAGCACTACAAGAGGCGAGGATGTACAACAAGGAACCAAAGGCAACTGTCCCTCCAAGACTTTCGTTTCTCTTTCCCAGCCTTGCCGGACTCGTCTTTTCCAGCGCCTGCAGGTACTATATATAGAAGCCTAAATAATTACCTATGTCATTGTTAGGGTTCCTTTTTATATTTATAGTATAATAGAGCCCAAAACCCTATTCTAATTATTCAGGCCCCTGCAGGTACGAGTTTACGTCTTCCTGTCGTGTGACTGCAGTTCCCCCCTTTCGTCACAAAAGGGTCATTCTGTTGATGATATAAATCCTGCTTTCCCAATACTCAGGGATATACCATAATTCCCGGAATTTAGGGTCCTTAAGGTCACCCAAGATTTATATGGGAGTTTCAGAAAATACAGGGTACCTTATTTTGGGGTCCTTATAATAGGGATCCTATTATTTAGGGTACGATATTAGGGTCCCCTATTTTCGGAAACCCCCATATCATCAACCGTTATCCTGCAGGGTCGGGACCGCAGTCCAGTGCCACAAGACCGGCAACGGGCAGGCCGAGACAAAACCCTCCAGGGGTTTAGGGTTTAGGGTTTATAACCTAAACCCTAAACCCTAAACCCTAAACCCTAAACCCTAAAACCTAAACCCTAACCCTCCATGAAGCCGAAAACTCGAGTACCACAACACCCGAAACCCTAACTTCAATCCTCAGTACCTTTAGCCCTTCTATCTTTAAAGCTGATAGCCGAGTATCCCAATAACTTAAAACCCTAAAGCCTCGTTCCCTAAGCCCCAAAATCCTGAAACTATGACCCCGTGGGCCTTTGCCGCCTTTCTTCTTGCCCTTCTCCTTTCCTTTCTCTTTGCCTGCCGGGCTTCTGGCGGCTGGTCTCGGGTTTCAGGATTTCGGGCTTACTGACCTGGGCCTAGAGTTTAGGGTTAAGGGCTTATATGGTTTAGCATTTAAGGTTTAGGGGCTCTGTCTGCATGGGGTCGTCAAAATTAGCATCATCTTGTTTCGGGGTCCTTGGTACAAGCGCAGCGTGAGGCTTCTCGGGGGATCGACGGGGTGAGCCTGGTTTAGGGTTTAGGGTTTAGGGGCAATTTAAAGAAATACCCCCACTGATGTAAGCCCATGCCTTAAGCCCCTATAGATCCCTTATAGAACCCTGAAGAGGTGCCCCATTATAGAGACCCTTACTCAGGAACCTACTGTAGACCCTAAACCCTACACCCTTACAGAAACCCTTGAAGGGATGCTTAAAGGAACCGTTAAAGAGCACCCTAACCTGTATAAGGGGTTTAGGAGTTTAGGATTGAGGGAGCCAGCTGTGCGAATTACTAGCTCCTGGCAGAAATCTACTGGACATCTCAACTATGGCACAGAAGGCCACTCTTTCTGCTCATCTTCTTGCCAGGGGACTCAATAACATTGCCGAAGTGTAGCGGCCCCTGAAACAAATCCAACTGCGCTCGGCATCTAACGCAGCAGGTGCCTTTTTCTTTGCCTTTATCCTTCCCTTTCTCTTTTCCTTTGTCTTTGCCCTTGCCTTTAGCCATTGCCGCAAAGCTCCGCAGTCCTTTGCGGCCCTGTGTGTGTTGCTTGCCTGAAGCTGCGAAGCTGGGGAGGTGCGGTCGTTTGCCGTCGCCTGAAACCGATGTGAAAGCCATCTGCAAGAATTCAGAATCCTTTGTTTGGGGCTGCATAACATGTGGGCATTGAGTCGGGGTTCACTAAACCCTAAACCCTAAACCCTAAACCCTAAACCCTAAGCCCTCATGTCATGTCGTCTCTAACTTTTCCGAGTTGGAAATGTCGGCGGCACAGTGGAGTCCGCAGACCACAGAATGAGGCCCTCTCGTACCCAAAGGCTCCATGTACTCAAATAGTCGATACTTAAGCCTTAAAGGGGTCCCTATATAGGTACTTTAAGGCCTAAGTATCTACTATATGGGCACATGAAGCCTTAGGGGTATGTTCTACTCTATCAGACTTGCTGTCACGTCTTGTGATGATGACGTACATTACACTGTAGCTATACAGGAACACTTATACAACAGTCTTCAACAAACAAAACAATGCGAACCGTGGCTCTTCAGCCCTATATTCTCAACTTCGAGCAAAGACTTGGAAATCTCATAAGCCCCTTCCAGTGAAATCTTTGTAAAACCTCGATAGAAGCCTTATGCAACCCTCCCAACCTCAAAACCCCAGTTTCGGAGTTCCTTTTTGCTCTTAGCGGAAAGCCTAAACATAAACCCTAAACCCCAAACCCCCTTTCGGAGTTCCTTTTTGCTTTTACCGGAAAGCCTAAACCCTAAACCCCAAACCCCCTTTCGGAGTTCTCTTTTGGCTTCTACCGGAAACCCTAAACCCTAAACCCTAAAAACCCGCTTTCGGAGTTCCGTCCGGAAACCCTAAAGCCTAAACCCTAAACCCCCTTGCGGAGTTCCCTTTTTGGCTTCTACCGGTCGATCCCCAGTTTGTTCAGCTTCACGAGACGGTCGAAGTAGCGATCCGCCGTCTCCTCATCCCCCAGGGCCCGGTGGAACTTGTTCAGTATCCACAGGGCCTTCCTCGGCGCTTCGGTGCCTTTTGGGGGCTTTGAAATGAGTGATATATATATATATATACATACATATATATATACATTTATTTATTTACTTATTGATATATATATATATATATATGGGGCTGTACATACGATTAGGTAGGACTCTTAAGGGGTTCAGGGCCTTCCTCAGCTTCGGTGCTTGAAGGGTTTTTTTAGGGCTTTGGGGCGTTTGTCCAGAGTTTTGTGCAGGATTCTACATGGGTTTCGGTGCAATAAACAGTACTGTTCCCCTGTGGTCCCTATAGAGTTATGTTGTGGAGGTACCTCCCCCCACAAGCACCGTTTCAACACGCTGGACGCCTAAGCCCTGAAACCCTTACCGCACCCTCCAGCCCTCTAGCATAAGGAGCCCTGAGGAAAAGCTATGAATCACTACTCAAGCCCTATAGTAGAAGCCAGAAAGTAAGAACATGCCCAGTCTCATGCCCTTAAGATCAAGCATAAAGGATCCTAGCACTAATCCTCCTAAACCCATGTTCCAACTTTCTGGGATTCGCCCTAGATGCAGACGCCTTAAGATAATGTAGGGGCCTCAGTAATTAGAATAGGGTTTGGGTTCCATTATACTACAATTGTAATTAAGGAACCCCGAAACTAGTATAGGTAATTATTTAGGCCTCTACATTACTCCTTGGCCCTGGGGTTCGCTGCCAGGGCGCTGATTTCGAGTGTTGGCCACCAGGTTCGGCTCCTTTGCGGCGCTGATAGCGGATTTTCGGGTTTAGTGTTTAGGGGTCCTACTCATTTTGGAGAAGCTGCTAAACATAGTTATGGGTTTAGGGTTTAGGATAGGGTCGAATATTTAGGGTTGGGTTTAGGGGTTCAGGGGTTCAGTGCTTAAGTTTTACAAGGGTTCAGGGTTGTCAGGTTTACGGTATGCCAGCGATTCAAAGCCAAGACATAGGCACAACAGTGCAAGGCTGAATCATGTCAAGCTTCCCACAAGTGCATCACGCGGCGAAAAGTATCCAAAGCTGCTGCCTGAGCACGGTCATACAGCTGCTCGACTTGTGTTGCTTGGCTCAGCCGTTCTTGTAGTTCAATTGTGCTGCCTATAGTTTTTGAGAACACTTCCATGTGCTTATCGCAAGCACTGGCACAGAGCACTTTCGTGGACTCTGGCCGGTCTTGTCCCGCGCATAGGACATTTCGTGATGCCGGGAACTTCCCAGGGAAAAGCTTCTGATGTAAGAGTGGGTTTAGATCATATCCAGTATAAGGCTGTATAGGGACTACCAGAGGATCGGATACTACTACAGATAATTCGCAATCTAAGTGTTGCAGAATCTAAGTGTTGCACCTCTTTTTCTTTAACCCTACACCATAAACCCTAAACCCCTAAACCTCAAAAACCCCTAAACCCTCAACCCCTAAACCCCTCAACCCTAAACCCCGAACCCCAAACCACTAAACAAATCTTAACCTTAAACTAAACCCCTGAACCCCTAACCCCTAAACCCTAGCCTAAAATCCTAAACCCAAAACCCTAAAGCCGGACTTCTGGCAGCAGTGCGAAAACCCCCTAAACCCTAAACCCTAAACCCTAAACCCTAAGTGCAAAAACTCCAAACCCTCAAAAGCGCTGGAACCCGGAAGCCCGGAGCCCCGGAACTCTTAAGTTACCGTCATTCAGCTTGTAACACTGCACTTAGGGCTTAGGGTTTAGGGTTTAGGGTTTAGGGTTATTGTCAGTCTATAATACTATAATATTGCCATATTCAAGAACTATAATCAATATCGCAATGCTAGAAGTATACTGCAATATGACAAATTACGATGCCATAGTACAAAAATCCTCAACGCTTGAGGAGCTGTATGGCCTAAGCCTTGGAGACCTAAAGGCTCGCCTCACCGGCTTTGATGCGGCTGGCTAGCCAGGATGCCAGTCTGGCAGAGAAAACAAACGAAGGCATCAGAAAAATCTGGTTTAGGGTTTAGGGTTTAGGCATCAGAAAAATCGGGCTGAGATATCAGGGCACTGACTCTTGCCTTCTTAAGTTCTTAAGGATACTGCCGGCAAACCCGTAAACCCTCAACAGCACACAAGAAACCCCCAGCGGGCCCTCGCAGCCTCACATCAGTCGTGAGCCCTGGGACCTTGATATAAGCCCTCAATGTAGTAAGATCACGTGAAAGCCTACAGCAACGGTCGCCGGAAATGCCGGTAACCCGAACGACTGAATCAGTAACCAGAACGTCTGAATCGAGAACCAGCTACGATTCAGAAACCATAACGGCTGACTCGGAAACCAAAACGGCTGATTCGGAAACCAGCCCTGCTTCGGAAACCCGATGCCTTCCACCCCCTTCCACCCCCTCCCCCGTTTCCAAGCGGTGATGCACGCCTGGTTTCGGATGCGAGGCCGTGTTTCTGATTCCCTGCTGATCCTACAGCAACCCGGTAAAATCCCGAAAAACCCTCAGAAACTCCCCTGCAAAACCCCTGTCCGCTCAAGTGTGCCGGGCAGGCTCAAACTGAGTGGGCACGTGGAAGGGATCTTTTCTCGTGCCCTCCAGGATCACCTTCCGCTGGACTCTGTTGAAAAGATGCGCTGAAGTTAAACTTTTGTTGGGGCTCAGTCAAATTGCTTCCGGCCTCAACAGAAGGCTGCATCAAGCAAACACTTACATACATACACATTCACATATGTATACAAATCCTATTCTGGGGACCAAAACCCTAAACCCCTGAACCCCTAAACCCCCAAGCCATAAACCATAGACTCCAAACCCCTAAACCCTAAACCCCTAAACCCCTAAACCCCTAAATCCCTAAACCCCCCTTCAACCCCTAAACCCCTAAACCAGTATAAACCCCAAATTCTAAAACCCTAAATCCCACTTAAACCCTTCAGAAGGCATCTAGAGACCCCAATCAAGTAACCTTACTTTCAAAGTCCCATGATCCTACAAGAAGGCATCTTTTGCCTGCAGATTTCGGGCCTCCACGGCCTCCTGCGGATCCTAAGCCCCGAAACCCTAAACCCCTTAAACCTAAACCCTAAACCCTAAACCCTAAACCCTAAACCCTAAACCCTAAACCCTAAACCCCTAAAATCCAAAACCCAAAACCCTAAACCCTAAACCAGGTCTGGGACGGCAGTCGC